GACTTGTCTTAACCAGTTGAGCCCTAACATAAGGGCACACTAGTAGCCTTTTTTTATATAGTTCCTATACAGTAAATACCCATCGCCAGGAGACACTGAGCCACTAGTACATTCAGAAAGAGGTTATTAAGATGGATACAGAATTTCTGCTTTAGTAGCTGTGTAGCAAGGCGTAAAACAAGCGCGTGAGTTAGCGCAAGAAAAGCGCTTTTTTCAGTATCTGAATTTACTTCTGTGCCCTGTTGTTGTGGCCATTGCGTTTGTTGACTCTTTGCAAACGTTTCACTTATAGTCGCCAATACATTATAACTTATAGCCATTAGAAATTGGCTTATTCTTGAGCTTAACCATATAATTTGAGCGCCCCTCAAAAGCTATCATTACTTTATCAATTGTGATATAAGAAGAAGGTAAATAGGCATTTCGGCAGGCTGTTCGAATAAGGTCTGAAACGCATTAAATTCGATAGAACCAGGGGGTATTTGGCTGCGCAGGGGCAGCATTTAAGCTGAAGAATCAATAAATCAATTGAAATCAATCTTAACTTATAAACTTGCCTAATTTGTGAATCTTCTAGTAGTCACTGTGTACTGCTAATTAATACAAGCCAAAATAGATATATATGCCTAGATATACACGTATTTTAGCGGGTGTAATAGGTACCTAATGGCAGTTTTCTGAAAGGGTAAAAAGAGGGTCGCGAAGATGGGATTCGGCGTAAGAGTTCGTTTCTTCGGAGATGATTTCCACTATAATTGGGCTAAAAAAGAGCTCAAAAAAGCCTAATTCTGATAGATCAGAGTATTGAGAGGATCCTGCTCGATTTTGAACGTAATTAGCCTCAAACTGAGGCAGTTCTGTTGGTAATAATGTAGGCAGTTCATTTGTACATTCCGATGCAGCTTCGATCACTGCCAAGGCCTGATCAACATCATTTCGATCGATCGCCACAGGGTCAATTCTTCGTCGTTTTGGCTGGTTATGAGCTTGTTCGGATCGGGGAGGTGAGTTTGACCTATATCTCAAAGGAATTTGAGTAACTCGTCGTGGTCGTAGCATAATTAGTTATAAGAAATTGAAAAGCGAAGCCAGCTGCGGAACGCTGCGTAGATCAAATGCGGCTTAAAAAAGCTTAATTTAGGCATTTTACGCTAATTGGCACATCAGGTACGGAGGGGATACATAGTAAGTAGTCAAACCACGCTAATATAAGGTAAGAGCTAGTAGCTGTAGCTTAAGCCAAGCCTCAAGGCCTAAAATTTTGCATCCGGGACTTGGGAGTGTTACTAAAGGGGCCAGACCACTAGAAGCCCCAAAAGATATAAATATAACTAATATTATTACTATAGTTTGAACTAGCTCTTCTAGAGCTATTAGTGACTTTCTACTATCCATAGCACCCTCTACGCCAGCATATCATGTAACACTAAGAGACCTTTTAATACTTTGCGTCTCGACCCATGCACCACATATGCAGTGACGCTGGATCACGTTGAAGCTTGACATCCCAGGTACCGAGCTCCTTGAAGCCATAGGATGCGTATACTAGTCTCCCCACGGGACTGGCCTCCACGCGGCAACGAAGGTGCTCTTCGTCCGCCCTTGCACATCCGCGCTTGATCATTTCGGTAGTGGCACCTCGGCGGCGGAAATGTCGATCTGTGACAATCAACCCGAGATTCCAAAGCTCGGTGACTTTGGACCAGTATTTCTTCCCAATCGCTTTCGACGCTTCTCCAAGAGCCTCTAGGTGTTTGAAGTCGGCATCGCGTCGGACGTACTTTTGGGGGGGAGACCACTGCTCGACGGACGTGGTACATGCTGTTCCAAGAGTATCAGAACAAGTCACCCAAAGTCAACTTAGAATTTGAACATCACATACCATCCAGCATGTTTTGCCACGTATTTTTTTGTGCCTAAATCCTCTTTGCTTCCTTCGAGGTACCTAGACACTCCCAAATGCAACAAGAGATAATCGTGCCAGGGAGAGCCTCGCCTTCTCCGTCGGGGCCCGGATCTCCAGCGTCGGTGACAACGACAAGGAATAGAGTCTTCTTGTCATACAGCCAGTCCTGCAGCTTCAGCTGCCAGAAGAAGAAATTGTCCTCAGGAAATTCTCGCCACTTAGGCCACATATAATCAAACGGTTATGGCTGCAAGACGGTGAAGATCTCGGGTTGTGCCTAACCGCTAGTGCATTGTTGAGATGGCCACCTCTTATTGATCCAAGAAAAAAAAAGGCCAATGTGCAAAAGGTAGTGAAGAGAAATGGTCTGAATGGGAGGAGATGCGTGAATAATTTAGCTTCATAACAAGTTGAATCACAGAAATGGCTCAAGCTCCAAAACATACGGGCCACTCGCCGATTGCCCAATGCGGTCGCCTCTGCTGCACTGCACCTAGTGGTATCATTGGACCGCGAACTGTCCGTCACGACAGAACAGATTTGGTGAGTGCTGCCTGGCTAGAATTTGTATTGACGTACAAACCCCAAGAGGCTTTGGTTACATATGTCACCCTATTAAGGTTGGGGATATGCTGCTTAAACATGAAACCGCAAGAACTACTATGATAGTGTTAGAGGATGTAGCAAACAGCGTACGGAGGTGCCAATTCACTTGATTGAGTTACTCCTATCAAGAGGAGCATTTGCTCATACTAATAGCTATAGAAGCGCATTACTGTAACAGCTCAGAAACAGCATTTGGCGTTCAATTCGTATAGCAATGCTCACTGCCATAAATGACAGGGCGTAACAGTTACAAGAGCGTTTCGTGCGTTTTGCATGCGGGGACCCTTGTACCATCATGCTAATACGCAACAGATACGTATCATATACGCAGGGATTTTGACAGATAGGAGGCAAAAGTAATGTAGGTTAGAGCAAGTAGTGGCTAGTAATCAGTACTCCGTCATCATTTGTTGAACTGCTACGTAGATCGAATAGAAATAGCAAGTTGTTCGATCTACTAAGTTGGCTGTACGGTACAGCGAAATTTGCTCTGAAATTGCAGGAGAAATCGACCAATAGAACACGGGCAAATAAACAAGGGTAAACGCAGCAAAATTGACTAATAGGCTCTTACGAAGTTCAACACCATTAATTCCTCCCTACTCGGTGCCGCCAACTTAGCGTGACAGATTCCTTCCTTATATAGCATAGTGTGTAGGAGTGCTCAGCAAAAGTAAACATGACTGTAGAAGAGAAATCATCCTTATTGAGGCTATAAATGATTTGTCTGTTGATGGGGGATAATTAAATGCTCATGGTGAATACATCAAGAGTCTAAGCCTGTATAAGAAAGTGCTCACTCTTCAGTGGCACTAACTATCTCTAAGTGCTTGGATAACGATGATGATAGAGATCAATTGATCATACCAAATTACTAGCGTAAACCTACAATACTTATGCCTCCTACCGTGGTAGGTAGCCATCGTCCAACCAATCCTCTTTTTCGGAAAGATGGTGTCTGATTTGGTCCGTTCGGGGTTATGCAAGTGCACTTGTCGTTTCTACGCGACTCTGTTCTCAGCAGTTGGTGAGCAAAAGCCCGCCAGCAATCAACGGAAACACAGCCTTTATGCCATAATCTACTGGTCGACCTCCTCATCCGGACCTCGATTCTCATCCTGGGAACATTCGTCCGCTGCCACGATCACAGGCAGAGATGGAAGAGCCATAAATCCAACAAGAATAACGATTGTCGCCAGAGCTTTTAGAGTCAGACACATAACGGGGAAAAAACTTGTCATGCTCAAACTCACCAAATACGCTTTCAGTCGCTGCTTGTAAGCATTTCAGAACGACCTTCCTCTCCTCCCTTGGAAGAGTCCTCACATATTCGAGGCTTTGCATTGACTTGCGATTTATCTATAGGGCCGATCAATTTAGTTGTCTTCGATCCAGGTGCGTGAAGTTACCTATTTCGCATGGTCAGATGTTCCAAGAGCTTGAATCATCCGATGCTTCGCTATCCTGCGGGAGACGATCGATGCGACAGTGATTCCGACATCTCCGGTGATCGCAATCACAAGACTGAAGAGTGCATATATCGATGTTTGATCTGGGACACGTTAGCTTCTGTCATGTTTATAGCTTAGGATCCTTAGCATCGTATAAGCTCTTAACGTCAGAATGTGGCGGACTCCCTGGCAAAGGAAAGGGGCATGTGGCCTGGCATTTGTCCTGGCATACTAGTAATCTCCCGAACATGACGTGCTAACGTGAGAACAATGTCTAATTCAATGGTGTCGACAAGAGGAAAGAGGACGAAGATGTCATGCTTATCTCTTGCAAGCTTATACGGCACAAAGCCAATCACAATGAGGATCAGCGGCTCTCAAGATCAGGACAGAAATTCTTCTCAAGCAAACCAAATATCATCTTTGCAAAGACGGTTGGACGGTCGAAGGTTGACTCGGATCAATCAAATCAGCGGATAGAAACCAACAGATAGATGTAGATTGCCGCATTAGGTATTCTTCAAGACTCAGAACACGACTGGGGATTTGAGTCGTCACGCATGCCGGAGGTTATTCTTTTGCACCTTAAACATAGCCGCAACTGCATCCCACAATGCTGTTGGAGGACTTTTTTACCAGATCAACTTTGGTCGCTTCTTCATGCAAGATCTATAATAGGTGGAAAAACTTATCTTCTGATATGCTACTCATTTGTTACAAATCGATGTCAGGTTCATACAGCTAGCTAATGGCAGGAGTAACTGCCACGCTGCTTAACATTCGAACTTGGTTGTTGCAAGAACGCTTGCTTAGTCGATGAATATTGCATTGCATCGAACACCTGATTTTGTTGGGGAATGATGCTCTCTCGAAGCCAATGAGAGGAGCCCAGGAGGAACGGCTATAGGAAGATAACAACCGTATGTGACGCAGGATCATTAGCCTGTCTGAGATAGCCCTCTTCTAACTGAACGACCCACGTTTTCTCCGAACTGAGCGAGCCATGTTTTTACACTCGACTCCTTGTTATATACGATTTTGAGGTACTGGCCATCTGCAGCCATGTTACCGTCCCACCAAGTCGCCTGAGACTCCCAAGTCCGATAAATAGAATTTTCCTTGACTTTCGTTCCTGTTTCGACAATAATGCACAATCTGGCCCTTAAGCTCCCACCAATGGCACGAATCCAAGGATTGTTGTCGATCGGTCGGCTAGCTTCTTGCAAGCAAAGGATAGTTTGAATAGGTGTTTCTCCCGGTTTGACAGTTATGGACTCCATTTCGTCTGTTACAACAGTGAATTGAGTTGTATACTTCATGAGATATCAGTATTTGGGCATTGAGGGAGGGTGAAAACCTAAGAGCACAAACCTCATAAATACGAGCTGTGGTTTTTCGGCCTTTTATTTGGCGAGGATAACAAACTCCATCATCGTAGCGGTGGTGACTTATCCGCGTCCGGTCCTTGTCCGCGGCTTCACATACGTCGACCACAAAGTCCCATGGCGTCGTTGGGAGACCAAGGTTCCCAAGGACATCCAATATGGAAGGGTCCATATAATCTTTGTCGCCGAGAAAACAAAGCACGATGGACTTCCAGCTTCTGTTGTCGCTACAGAGTCTGCGAAAGTCGTCTCTGGAACTCAGTCTAATGAGTTCAAGGATAATAGTCTGCACCGTCTTGGCAAATGCCATCCGATCAGCTCCAGCACATGGAACTATGATAAGAAGCTCTGTGTGACGCGGCTTTGCAAAGAGGGATGGGCGTAGCTGGTAGTGTTCGTTCGTAAAGTTAGAAGGATCACAGACCACTGCCGTATACCTGAAGTGCGTGAACTCGTCCCGCATAGGTGGCTCTGCATGAGGAACTTGTTTCAAGATGGCTTCGGGAACCGGGTGGTCGACGACGAGGTTGCCCCGAAAGAGCTCTATTGGGCGCACTTGCCTCGACTGCTGTACCCACTGGTCTGCAGATTGTGGCCCCTCGGCGGACTGGATGGCATTGGCTTCGAATTCGTCGTGCTCAAAAGGAGAGAGAGAGTCCTTGTGCTGGTGAAATGATTGCTGATGAGTGACAGGCCAAATGTCACCGAATAATCCAGACTCATCATATTTGTCAGGATAAGGAGCCCAATTCGTAGCTAGGGGTTCATATTTGCCAGAATAAGGAACCTGATTCGTAGCTAGGGTTTCATATTTGCCAGAATAAGGAACCTGATTCGTAGCTAGGGTTTCATATTTGCCAGAATAAGGAGCCTGATTCGTAGCTTGGGGCCTATATGGCAAGTCCGTTGTCGAAGAGAGAGAGGCGGCTGCATCTGGACGCCTTGGACGAATGAAGGGTTCTTCATTTTGTACCATCTCGGTTCTAGCGGTCGGTAAACCCGACCACAGATTTCCATTTTGGGATTGACCATCCGATGCTACAGGGCTTGCGGATATCTGGTATTCTCGATGTCCAATCCCTTCAAGTTCCGGACTTTGCTGAAAACCGGCCGTAGGGGATAAAGGAGAGATGCGGTTTGCGGTTGTCACTTTCATGGTGCTTCCCGTTGGGGTTTCCGACTCGAGAATATGCTCCTTCAGGCCACTCTGCTCCTCTGCGCTTGTAGAATGCGTCGGAGGCGGTCGGAGCTCAGAAATGGGAACAGTACTCCATCTTCCTGACGGTTCGGTGAGTGAATCCGATACAACAGCTGAATATGGTTCTTGATAAAGAGATGACCTGACATCCGATTAGATGGACAATTCAGTGTTGTGGTACAGTGCTCTTGATACCTTGTTGATGCGATTGAAGCTGGTCTCTCACCAAGAGATCTATAAAACTCTATCCACTTGTGAAGCAGAGCTTCTTGCGCGGTTGGGCGCATTTCCGGTGCTGGCATCATTGTGGATTTTATGAATTCTGTTCCTAGAGGGCTAACATTATGCGCGTCCAAGAGAGCAGAGGGGAAAGTCTGGGGTTTGTGGACATAAGTGAAAAGAGCGGCCATGTTTCTGAAGGTCGGTTCTTTGGTGAGCATCCGAAATGCAATCTCACCTACGGACCAGATGTCTGCTCTTTGTGCATTGTAAGAGGTTGGGTTACTTCCCACCTCTGCAAATCCATGCAATTCTGGCGCCATAAAACCCAAGGTCCCTTTCAAAGTTGACGATACCGCGACACCATCTTCAGCGCGCTTGCTGATGCCAAAGTCACCGATTTTAACCCACCATTGCTCTGGCGGTGTTGACTTGATCAGGATATTCTAATTGCGAAAGGCTGTATGTCAGATGCTCTCGTTCAGCAAAAGGATGATGGGAAACAAACACCAGGTTTCAGATCCCTATGTGCAAAGCCGTTTCCATGGAGGAACGAGAGTCCCTCAAGAATCTGCAACGAGATCTGTTGGGATTCTGATTCTGATAATGGCGGTGTGGAGGACAGGTATTTTTGCAGGTCACCATGCTGGAAGTATTCCATGGCAATGAACAAAGCATCGGCTCCTTCATACCACCCAAAAGACTTTACGAAACATCGTTCGTACTGGCAGGCGTCAGCAATGTGCTGAACAGAGCGTACCAAGTCCGAACTAAGCTTGATACCTTCCAATGTGAGAACTTTGCCATAGCTTCTAGTTCGCGGTTGTAGTTAACAGGCCTCGAAGGTTGCTGGGGCTTCGGAATCTCTTTCACGGCCCGTACTTCGACCTCCCGCTGCCCCTTCACGCATTTTTCCAACCATACACTTCCGAAAGAGCCCCCTCCGATATATTTTTCCCGCTTCCAATATTCTTCTCTTACAAGTACTCGCTTGCGAGGGGTAGGGCCCGATTCATAATAGACGTGAGTTGTGTATTTAGGATGGAATCTTGTGTCGAGCTGCGAGTCACGGACCAGATCTGGAATTCGATTCATTGCGACTTGGATGTCAGTGACTTGGGCGTGACGCTGTACCCCTGCTCTCGCACCTGATCGTCAAAGCAGCCTGTCCGCGACGACCTCTTGTAACGCTCCGTTGCACCACTCAACCCTTATGAAAACACATGGCTCTCAGGACTTCAGCAGAAGTCTATAGTCCGGAAAGTTGCATCGGCAGACAGCGTGAATGAGACTATGCAGGAATGGTAATGTGAGCCGCAAGGCTCTGGGATTCTTGGCGACAGAAAATAAAACGGGCCGCAGCCGATATATAAAAGATCATTGTCTAATCACAAGCACATGTACATAGTACACGACTCAGCCATGCTATTGCGCCTTCAGTGCTCAAATTTGGGCATAAGACCATTTTTATGTGCACGTAATCCGTAGCAGCAGTCCGAGAGCACGCTCATGTCGAAGACTTAGGTGGGGAGTCGCCCCATTTTGATGTGAGCTCGTTCGAAACACCATCGTCAGTTGAGATGCCGCGAGACAGACGGGAGGTGCAAATGTTTTGTCGACGACGCTTGGTACTTCCTCACTGCATCATCCCAGTTGTTATGTGAGCACGATCCCGCCACCCTGTCATTTCTGACTTCACTTGTGTCCAGTCCAGACCTTCTGTTGATAAGATCGAATATATATCGCTGCATAACGTTTAGGGAAGATGATGGGCGCAATAGTATGAATATCAGTTTGGACGGCCCTATGTTGGTTCTGAAAGGGGCTTTACCAACGATTCGGACACAGATATCCGGCACAGTCATTCAAATGAGCTTGATCTTGGCTTCTGCCCGTGTCCTTGGGGTGCGATGAACAATTGCTGTAAATTTGCAGTGGAAGTAATGGTCGAAAGCTTGAATGTGTGACGTTTACTATTTGATTAGGTGCTGTCATTCTCGAGCTTGTGGTATCTCGCTCAGTCATCTCTTACCTCTGCCGCGTAACCATCTCCTGGAGTATCACAGCATTTTCGAGCCGCTTGGGCGAGCCCAGTCGGCCAGATCTTTGGTCTTATGAGCGCCATAACTCAAGATTCAGCACAGCGTATTCATGGTGACCCAAGCTAATTAAGGGATGGAGTGATCGTATTTGTAGACGACATAGAGATAGTGACGGCCTAGGAAACTAACCAGGCTCTACTGGGGAAAGATGCTATTAAACTACTAGTCGAGTTGAAATGAAGGCATTGGCAGAGGATTTTGAGGCTACTTACGAATTGGCCATGAGTACCGATTGCGAAGGAGACAAGGGGCTAGGTCGTTGGAGCCGTGGCAAGGTGAAAGCGGTTGCATAAGCTTGAGACTGAGGCAAAAGTACCATAGTAATGATCTGCATGCACAATGTTCGTGCATATATGCCAGAAATTGTGAGTTTTGAAAGCCTGCTTGATGGTCATATTCCTGGCATCTGAATCAGCAGCTCAACCCGGATCACTCAGCACATTCGCCACAAATGCCCGAAACTTGCGCTGTAGAACATTTATCCCGCGGACATTCCTTCACACTACAGGTCCCAAAGCTCTGGTGCTAACTGCAGCAAGGAATGTATTTGGCTTAACTGGAATCAATGCACTTAGATCGATATTCTGTCAAGCTGGAGCAAGATCTAAACATTTTAGTACATTTCATTACCCATATTTGAACATAGTAACGCACCTTCTCGATAAATCTGACCCCTATTAGGACGCCATCTGCATCCTCCATTTCATTGATATGGCCAAAGTCGGTATTACTTTCATCAAGGCAGGTCAAACATGCGACCACAATGTCAGTATATTTATCCCCCATTCGACTAGGCAACCGTTGTTTGGCGAGGTCAACAAGAGCATGTTTAACCAGATATGCCTTGTTGATCTTGTCATTCTCCGCATCATTTAAAATGCTAAGGACCGTAGATGGTGATGGGTCGCCATCGTCATCGTGATAGAGGACAAAGGATTCCCAAAGTCCGATTTCAAGCAAGCAAACTCCAAGGCTATAAATGTCATGCTGCATGATGTAGTCCTCTTCGGGGTTCAGCCCCTGGCGGTGAGGGTGCCGATAAAGGTCCTTTTCCCAGATGCAGTCCCCGCACCGAATAGTCCTGCCGTCTACTAAACGAAACTTCTCAAATCCTAAAAGGAAAGACGCTCCCAGCAGGGATTTCTGGGTTTGAAATATCAAGAGGGTTTCGGGACGGATTCCTTTGTGAACGAAGCCGTAGGTGTGGACATAGCTCACGGATGTGGCTAATTGTTGTGCAAGCTTGAAGCGGTCGCTGAGTGATACACTGCCGTCGGCGGAGATGAGGATATTGCGAAGACTTCTGGGGTTCTCCATACCTTCGGGGACTCTAAATACAAAATCAAACGAAGTGACCCTTTTCTTGGCGGAATCCAGCACTTTTATAACCCCGCGACAATTGAGTAGGCTGAAAGTGAATGGGTCTGCGTGGGACAGTTTTCTTGCCATGTCACGAACGTATTTCGTTAGGATAGAGGGATTGACCTCGGGATCGCAGGGAATTGAGTCCAGTATGAACCATTTAATGGAGTTGGTTTTCTCTATGGTGTGCGCTGTAGAGAAAGGTATTCGACGCCGACTTGCAGAGATAAGGCCGTCATTAGGGAGGAATATGGAAGTCTTGATCTGGGGTTCGTCTTTCAAGGAATCTCTCAGCCCTTTGGCCGTGGACATAGAAGCAACTTCGGTTTTATCTTTATCTAGTTCCTGATCAATGACCGGGCTCGCCACTTTCATTATCAGGAACCAGGATGGGTCAAATTTCTTTTGCCACTCTTCCAAATCCTTGATAGCATGATCCAGGCATTCTTTAATCAAGACATATTTGAATCTTTTTAGTTCAACCAAGTTCGTATTTCCAGCATCTTTTCCGTTCTTTTTCCTTATAATTCGGTCCAATTGAAAATTTGCTGCTTGCAGTTTACTCACTAGCACCTGAAGTATTCGATTTTGTATGTCCTGATGCTCCTCATCCAATGTCGCACACACTCTACGGAGAAAGTCCAACTGCATAATTGTTCTTTTCCAGAGAATATCTACGCACAGGACTCGCTCGTCGATTTCATTTGCTGCACCTCTGAATGTGGCACACTGTTCGACTAGGATTTTGCCATATCTAAACGCGTGCGCAAATGTGTTAGAACTAATGAGATATACTCTCAAATTGTAAGCTATTAACCCTGTCACTTACTTGCAGCACAGGTCCGCCGTTGCAATGACAGCAAGAGCAAGTTCCACGCCAGGCATTGTAGTAGGCCAGTCAATGTTGATGTGAACCATACAAAGAGATTCAGCAACCTTTCCAAACTTTAACGTACAGAACCACTTGGCAAGCCTCCCCACTTGGCGAGCTAATTTCGCGCACAACACGCCGGGGCACCCTCAAATTTCAAACACCCATTACTTCACCAATATAGCTCGCAGAGATGTCAAACAAGGAGCATTCGATTCAGAGGGCCTCAAATGACGTTGATCTAGGCCTATTGAATCCAATTCGCAAGGCTGCAGACTATTATGACGTGCCAAAGTCGACGGTAGCCCATCGACGCGCAGGATGACTCTCGGTAACAGAAACTGATCGCATCTCACAACGCCTATCAAAACAAGAAGAAAAAGTACTTATTTAGTACTTCTGAGACCTATAGAGACAACGTCTATGTCCAAATCATCTATCTTGGCAGTGCATGACATAGCTTTCCTTGGTGTAGTTATCTTTGTGCTTTCAAATTCTAGCGTATCTCCCTTCCGTTTCAATTTGCGATTGATACTCCGCTCTTGGGGTGCTTCGATAATAACAAGAAAAAGAACAAGAACAAATGGCGCAAAACCGGCTCTCAGTAGTCATTGTATGCTTTTTCCTGGTAACAAATGTTAGGCGGCTGACATCTTCCCCCTTCAGATCGGCGGATCTCTCACCGGGCTCATGCACGGGATCATGCTTCATTCGCTAGGCTACAACATTCACATACTCGAGCAGAGCCCATCGCCATCACGGAGTGATCACGCTGCCGGCATAACCGCTCAACCTCAAGTCGTCGAGTACTTCCGGCGCCATGGTTTCTCCAAAGACGCTTGGTCAATTCCTTGTCCTGCTGTCCAATTTCTTGGCCCCAAAGCCACGATCAAGCGGACCATCAAAAAGCCTTTAGACATGACAAGTTGGAATGTCTTGTATAACCAATTGAAAGGGAAGCTTGAGTCTCTACAGAAGGAAAACCCAGGCGAGAAGGCGAGGATAGGTGCAGGACCAACAGCCACGTGGAGTTTTGGCAGACGCGCCATGGATGTAGCTTACGATGGAAACAACGTGAAGGTCGAGTATGAGGATTTGGCACAAGGACAACGGGGAATCCTCAACGGTGACCTTGTGCTCGTCGCTGATGGCGCAGGGTCCACTATCCGCCGGAATCTTCTGCCTGCAACGGAACGAAGTTATTCTGGATACGTGGCCTGGAGGGGTACTGTGACAGAAGCCGACGTCTCCGATCAGACAAGGAAGATCTTGGATTCTCGGCTAACCTACTTCGCTATGAAGAAAAGTTATATTCTTTGGTTTGTCTAGTTCTTAGTGAGTTCCAAGATACTGCTTACTAACAACCTGAAGCTACATCATCCCTGGAGAGACTGGTAGCTTCGAGCCTGGCAAGCGCCGCTTGAATTGGGTATGGTACTGTAATCACCCGCCCGACTCTCCAGAACTTGCCGAAATCATGACGGACTGCGACAATCATCGACATCGCAATACTCTTCCCGTGGGAAAGATGCATACAGAGGTCTGGAACAAGCAAAAAGCACACGCCGCCAATGTCATGAATGAACCCTTCCTCGAACTGATCAACAAGACCAGTAAACCCTTCGTCTCGACAGTGGGCGACACCATCCCAGAACGTGCCTCTTTCTTTGACGGTAAACTCCTGCTTGTAGGCGAGGCGTTAGCGCTGATTCGACCACATTTGGCGTTGAGCACGAATCAGAGTGCCTTACACTGCTTGCAGCTGGAGAAGGCTTTGAAGGGAGAAATGACAATCGCGCAGTGGGAACGGAAGGTGCTCCAGTACGCCGCAAGAAGCCAAGCAATGACGAATGCATTCGGTACGTGGTTTCAGTATGGAGGCTTGACTTTCATGCGGAATCTGCTCAAATTTTGTTGGACCTTGATTGTTCAGGCGCTCAGTAAGATTTGGTCGATCTGAGGTACATCGGCTGTCAGCAGTGCATCAAGGTTGTCACGATCGTCACGACCAAGCCTCACCACCTGGAACGGTACACTATTGAGAGTGTCGCACTTTCAGAAGTAAGATCGTTCCATCGTCAGCATACACGAAACCAGAAATGGCTATTGCCGCTGGTCTCTTTCTGACTCAGCTTCATGGAGGCCGAAAGAGTACCAAGCGCTATTTTGTGGCTGGGAGGTTTTCGTACCCAGCAGACGAAAAGGATGATCCTGCTCCGCGATAATGAAAGGCTTGGTTGAACCCGGCGAGTGGGTCGCATCGACCAGAAGGGTCCAAGCATCTTGGGGTAAGGATGTGAGGGAACAGGATGATTCGCTGGGGATTGAGACAAGTAGCGGCACGTAAGGCATCGACAATTATGAAATGCCAAATCTACAGTAGGTGGTCAATATGAGATCAGTAAGCGAAAGATGAAAGGGTTGGATTGACATTTCCATCGCACATCCCCTTTCCCCCCCCCCCTTTTCCCTCCTGGCCTATGGTGGGTGTATGCTCCCTCGCCAGGGCGGAGGACTATTGAAGCAGAAGTTGTATCCTTCCTTCTGGATCTCAAATGCATTATAACCTCTGCAAGTCCAACGTACAACCCAAACAATCATACAGTAATTCGTTCAGCTCGAAAAAAGCGATTAGCCTCCACAACGCAGCGACATCCAATCAACACAAAGGAAAACCCACGCCCAGGCGCAGGAATCAAAACGTGCTTCAAGTTCAATTACACTTATTCATGATCACCCATCTCCCGCATCGAGAGAAACCCCCTGCTGCACCCTTCGTCCGTTACACCACATAGCAGCCCTGCAGCGCCAACCATTGAGCCTATGCAGATGCCAACCCTTCGACGCAACAAGCGCCAAAACCCCATCCACAAAGCATTACTAATGAACGTGCAGAACTGAAAATGCCATCCCCAAAGTGCCAAGGGATAAAGGAGTTAGTCTTGGCGCAGACAGGGGACCCCAACCGAGAAGGGGGCAGCAGGGGTCTTTGTGTGAGGAGCTTGCATGCACAGCGCACAGCTGGAACCCAGATGGTTTCCAACTCGCCCGCCCAGCCCGCACCTCGACTCGACTCAACTCGACTCGGAGAGGGACGGCGTAGAATTTCGAACCGCCGTTGCCCTAGGTAGGCTCTACTATACGACTACGACGCAGAATCTGGTGGAGAGATCGGGAAAAAACCAGAATCTATCTCGGGTGTCCAATTGACCCTTCCAGGAAAGAAACCTGACAGATAGGAGTTAGGTATGAGCAGAAAAGCGCGCTTTGAGATGGATCCCGCATTTTCTTTATCAATACAAACTAAGATGAAGAAGTGTTGGAATACACCTGCAGGGACCGCACGCCAGCAATCCACTGTAACGTGGATGGAGAAACTGCATCGACCTCAAGGCCCCGGTTATGGTGCGGGCCTCATCAGACGGTTCCAAAGACATGGTTCTGAAAAGATGTGAGACGAAAACCTGTCCAATCTGAAATTCTAGCGTGAAAAGTGGATTTGACTATTTAGACATCGACGTTGTTTGATGTCTGTTTGGAGATCCACATTCTTGACTCCTTTTGATAATCTACCTTGGACGACGAAGAAGAAAAACCGCTTTTAATTATCTAGAGATCGGTTCAGGGTTGCTCTACTCTCTATAAGTGCATTGTCCAGTTTCTCTTTCTAGTTGACTATCATACCGCACTATCATGGCGCCTCTACCGGGTTCAACTCGCAGCCGCACCACTCCACTCACCTCCGCATCCTCATCTGCATCTGGCTCCAACATCCCAACCCAGCGAAGTATCCAAGAGGTAGATCCAGCAACAGGCGCAGGAGGCGGTGTTACCTCAGGCCAGGGAGCCGGACAACAGCAAGCCGGACAGGGACAAGCCAGACCGAGACGAGCCGAAAAGCGGCAAGCCGGACGGGGAGAAGCCGGACGAGGAGAGGCCAGACAAGGACAATCCAGGCAGGGACAAGCAGCATTGCCTTTATCAGCCGTCGGACAGCCGACAGTTCATGGTCATGATCCTCATGCACGAAAAGCAGAACAGGCACAAGCAGCAGCGGGCTCACCGTCACATCTCAGGGAAACGACTCTTCGCGCGTACGATTCTCCTGGCGACAGAGCAAGGCAGGCCGAAGCAGCGGCGGGCTCACCGCCAGGTCTCAGGGAAACGACTGTTCGCACGTATGGTTCTTCTGGCGACAGACTAAGGCAGGCCGAAGCTTTAGCGGGGCCATCATGGCAGGTTGGAGAAACAACGACTCGTGTGTACGGTTCTTACGCTGACGCAGTAAGACAGGTACAGGCAGCAACGCGCGAGGAGCAACCGGTCGATGCGCTGAGCTGGCGTTTGGGTGAAGTGGTGATTGATGACGGTCCAACCCCGTGTCGAAGGCCGATAACAACCACACGTCACGGAGACGGAACGGTTGTGGCGGCGGCGGCGGGAGGAGGAGGAGGAGGAGCATCTCCCTCGTCATTACGAGTGTACGGTGCTTCTGGAGATTACAGAGTCTACACCCAGGAGGAGCGGAACGTTGTTCTCAAGCTGTTGGATGAGGGTAAGAATGTGTACTATGTCGCTAAGATGACAGGCGTCATCATCAAGACCGTGCAAAAGTGGCAGAAGTGGCAGCGGGAGATGCAGCAGGGGCTGTGATAGTAGGTGTTGGTGGAGATGACTTGCTCTATTGTTTCCTCTTCTTTTGCTTGCAACTTCCTTTCGCTTGTCTTAAATCTTTTGAGGATCCTGTTGCAGCTCTGTATGGTGTGGAGGAGGTCTGCAAAGGATCCACGAAATTATAATAGAACATAGAACAGAAATAGATGTTCCAGTTGGGTATCCTTGCTCAAAGAACTAACGGCACCAGTAGATCCAGTGCAACTTTTGACACGCTGTCAGCTCTACCGTATCATTCTTCTGAAAGTGGGGATGAGGCAGCCGGACGTTCAAGAAGTGCAACCGTCGAGTCAGGGCAACCAAAGCTGAAGCGCACAACAACGCGAGTATCAGGTACCGCCACGAGAGACATGAGCGGGGAAAAATGAGGGTATATATCGTCGATCTCCATCATTGCAGAACTTGGAGCTGAAGGCCATTCACCGGGGCAAGCCTCTCGACCAGTTAGTTCGACCGAGTCAAGCTCCAATTCTCCCCTGTTCCACCAGTTGCATACAAGCGATATCCTGTTATCATTCTTGGTGCACGAGGCGATCCAGAAAAACCGTGTCCGTATCCATCTCTCTCTCTTGTCCAACACCCACCTTGCCAGAGGCATGCTCGAAGGGTAAAACGCCCTCTTTATTTCACCGCGCAATATACAACGCCAGGTATTCCCTCGGGTTCGGCAGTTAGGGCGTCAATTCTGTCCTTCAAAAGCACTCACAGCCTCTGAGGATAGCTTTGCCATGACGGAAAGAGAGATAAATTATCAGATATGGACCACGTCTTGTTGTGCAACGACCCAATGGAAGTGGCAAGGTCAAAGAGCAATTGGTACAGGAGGGAGAGTCGCGTCTTGATAGAACATAATACTCACGATGTCCGAGCGAAAGATACCCTCGTCCTCGGCCCAAGGGATTCCATAGCACTCAATAAACAATACTGCCAGACCACAGCCAAGAGAATCCTAGCTGAGGAGAGTGTAGGACAAGGAGGAGTAAACCGGAGCTGCCGGAGCTGGGAAGCGGCTCGTCCTCCTGCCACATCAAGATCGGTTGTAGGCATAGTCTGAATCCTCAACATGGACGAGAAAGGTCAGAAGCTTGGATGATTGAGCACGGTAGCATTTCCAATTTTGACAATGCTGCTTCGAACTTGAGCTTCGAAAAGATAGCCCGTCTAGTCTATACAATGTATCTCTTGTGAACAATAGAACACCAGCCTCATGCATTTTGGGGTATCACATAACACAACACTCACGATCAGGCTTTTCTCCTTTGCCTTTCCCAGACGTATTCGGAGCTTTGTTTAACCGGCTTTTGCTTTTTTCCCTCTTGCGTTCTCGACGGAGGAACCCTTTCACCTTTTCGTCGCTGGCTGCTGGTGCTTCCAGACCATTACCCGCTATCTCATCAGCTTCAACGGAGTTACCGAGTGTAGGAATAGCTTCTTTGCTTTTCCCTCTAGTAAGTCTGGATAGAGATATGCTAAATCTTTCGCCAGCCTGACTTTGTGACCGACTTTGTATGCCATTCTTGCCCTGCATCGACCCACGTTTTGATGACGCCTGGGAGGACTCGGGATCAGGAATTGCTAGATCCCCTTGATCTGCTGGTCTAGAGAATGCCACACTTTGTCTCCTCTCCTCTTGAACAGGGGATCGGCCACGAGGGCACTCTTCTGGAGCAGTTATCTCAAGACTCGGCCTTAAAGGAGCTAGCATCTCGTCTGTAGATCCTTGAAAGTTCGAAGAGCTGACAGACATTCCACCAATACCCGAGTCGTGGGTTTCGGACGGAGCATACAACGGCAGACTCTCTCTATCGTCAAGACGCTCGGGCACGATCTCAATTGGTACAATCTGATAGAATAGTAGATAGGGTGTTTCGTCCTTCAGAGCCTGATGAATGTCGACTAGCGTGATTCGTTCGGATGCTAGATCATCGAATCTCATCCAATGGTTTGTATCTTGTACACCGTTCGACGTGGAACCGTTCTCGGCTCCTAAGGAGGCAGTTGTCCCCTTTACAAGAGCGATATAGTGACCCGAGTCAACTGAAGTACCACGATGGCATACCACCGACTGAAGCGAAAGCTTGAAGTTTCCGTATATTGGCCCGCCCTCATCCATGCTATCATCAGAAATGAAGTGTGGCAATCCTATCTCTGTAGGTATGTCAATTTTTGTGCTGAGTCGGATGGCTTTGCCGTTGTCAGTGAAGGAGTATCGCTTGAGACACATTCCCAAGATGGGTCGTTTGGACGAAAAATGAGCTGCAACTTGAGCATCGTTTTTGGGGGTGTTTTTGGTATACCAAGCTGCGAAAGAGGTCTTGTCAGTGATCAAACAACAGCCGACGGAGTGCACAGACGTACGTATGAGGCTGAAGAACTGCCATGCTGGCATCATGACTTCCTTCCTGATGCTACCACTTCGTAGACGGCCACCAGCATGTTTCACGTCTGCTTCATAAGCTGGAGGGCTGCTAGGACCAGACCCGTCAGGTATAAAGCGTTGTTGAATAATACTGGTGGCACGTTGCCGTACAGGTGACTCTTGTATAGAGGATGTGGACGAAGGCGGTATCCGAGCCGATGCATCGCCACCAAGCTCCACGGTCTCCACGTGCAGAGCACCACCTTTGGCAGACATGGCCTCGGGTGAATTATATGGCGGGACCGGGCTTGAGGTCGATCGCCGTTCCAGATATCTTTTCACCTCGATGCGGTTGTTGAAGTAGGACTCAAGGCAATCTTCAAGAGGAACGCTTTGTTGTGGATCCGCTGGGTCGGACGGCACTGCAACCTCAAGTAACCTTTCATTAATGAATTTGTGATCGTCGGTCAAGTCTTCTCTGCCGGTATGGTAGATGTCCATCTTGAGCGTCAGCAGCGGAAGCTCTAGTTTTTCAGTGATGAATGTGAAAGCCTCTGAGGCATCTTGTTGGTGCAATTGAGCTGCTTCTTCCCATCCGCACTCGGCTAAGGATTCTTGAAGCAATTGGACGATGTCTGTGGTGATTAGCTTGCCAGTCCTAAGCAGGTTCACCCACAACCGTAGAAGCAAGCCAAGTCTATTCCTTGCGTCGTCTTCGAAAGTGTTGTACAGCATGGACTCGAAACTGTCCAACCTTGAAAACATTGCGAAAATGATGCTGTCGAGATAGCAAGTCACTGCTTTCCTGTTCACCGCCCCTAAGAGCTTGACGCCGGGCTCATATTTTATAATTGATCCTTCGCACGCACTTGACATGGCCAACAGTAGTTCCAAAGCCTTATCGAGGTCGTTGGAAGCATAGGTTGAGTGAAGAGCGTACAGTATCTGTGAGTCTTGAAAGGTGAAGGACCTGGCCTCCATAACACGCTTACGCAGCGTTTTCACCTATTTGAGAAGCATGATCAGGATTGCTTTTGGCGAACTGATGACGGGGAGCTTTACCTTTTGCTCTTCCTGTGCATCCGCTGGCTTCTCTTGTGCAGAGAAGAGGCCATAGTAGTCCTTTGCGGGAGCTTCGGAGGCAATGGTAGTGGCAGAAGTTGACTGTGGTAGACAAAGTCAGCTACAACACCAGGAGTTTCGTTGATGCAGAGCTAAAAGACCGTGCGAGATGTCCTCTGTGTTATGGAACTTGTGGTTGAACTGCTAGGCAGCGAAGATCTCGCCTTCTTATAGCACATATTGAAGCGTGTGTAAAGCATTTCTCCCTGTAGCGACGAAGCTACAAGATGCAGGTCAGGGAGGGTTGGGCCAGTCAGTCATACCTTCCCTCTTGCGTGGTTCCTTCCCAGAACGTGCTTATCCTTCTTGCTCAGAAAGCGCTGTACCGCTGAAGAGTTCATGCTCGTCTCGCATGGGAGACTCCAGGGCACAGCGGGAAATCCACTGTATGGTCAACGAGGATATGCTATGGCCGACTTCTGCCGATTCCTCTTGGAAAAATAAGGAGCAATGCGGACAAGGAAGGTTTCATGAGAGATAGAGAGTGGTCACATTTGAAGAGAGCGTCATTCTTAACGCGACTCGGAGTGGCATAGCGTCTTTGTGCAAGCACATCACTGTCAGTCAGGTCCTCATATCACAAAGCTCATCACTCTTGGTACTCAATTCTAGATTGCCTGGTAAGACATGGCTGTCATTTCGAGATATGCAAGGTCTCAGCACTTGAAACAGGACTAGCGGCAAATCATCTGGACGAGGAGCCGTAGTGCATATGCAGCTTGACGTCAATTCAGTCTTCCTTAAGTGGAAGAACAATACTACATCACAACTTTGTTTCCAGAACAAATGCAGAAGCCCCTGCTATACTGATGCATCTGGGCCTTGCGGTAGTTTTTGCGTCTCCCATAGTCTAGCAAATTCTCGAGACACGGAATGCCTTCACAGTATACCATCAGTGCCGCCGAGGCCTTCCAAACAGGTATCACACCTTCTCTTCGAGTACTATATATCTCCTACACGTGCCACCAACTCTATTAAGGCAAGGCTACTTCGATTACTTTAGCCCAGTCACTCGTACGTTTTGTCTATCAACATGCAGCCAATGGATGCTACATAGATTCAGTTGACTACCTTCCCACAAAATGGTATACCGACTGTCTGCAGGAGCAGTCTTGCGTCCTTGTCTGTATTAGCAGTAGTATGAAGAGTGATGTTGCAGCCGGGTATCATCTTCTGAGGATATCTGGACTTGGATGTGAGCGATCCATTCTAAAGCATCGGAGAACGAGGCCAATACTCACGAATCGTAATTGATTTCAATCTCTGGAAAGCCACCAACCACTTCCGGATCAAGGCCAAATGTCAAATTGCCGCTGCCATCACCTGTAGTAGCCCGAACACCACGCCAATCCTTGATTCGAGGTAGCACCACGTTCACCAGCTTGCCTAAGAAATGATACATATCCTCGCCCTTCAACGTTGCTGTGGCTGCCATACTTTTACCAGGCACAAGATTCCACCCTGCCTCCCCAGTACGCGACTTATGCGTTTGAACACGCACGTTCGTTATAGCTTGGAGTACCATCCCAGCGACATGAAGAGGAGCACTGCCTTCCTTAATGACTTGCTTGACAAACGTGTGCACCGTGATCCTCTCGATCATGGGGATGTTTCGGAATGTGATGGGCTTGCGCAGCAACCTTAACACGTCGCCGCCACGCGGTCCGCGCAATTGACGATTCGCGTGGTATGGGCTTGAATCATCCCAACTTCTTAATCGAGGCGCTTTAAGTGGAGGTCTGTAGCCTGGTGGGTTATGCTGATAACACAGAGTGAGAATGTCTGGCGCTATCATATTATGGTAAGTCTGCTCGACGCGTGGGGATGAAAAGGGCCCTGGTACGAAAATCCTGGACGACGGATCTGATGCAGGTGGAGGTTGGTGCGGGTGGAGAGGTCCGCGGTCGTATTTGGGCGGCCGAAATTGATATCTAAAATTGACACGTTAGCCCTCATCGTAGCTGGTGCTCGCCCGGAGCAAAACATCCTGGAAAGAGCATACCTGCTGGGAGGTAACTGCTTCTTGCGGCTTCGGGAAGCTCTGAGGGGATCGAAGCTGTCAGACAAAGCTCCTAGTGGACCGCTGGAGCCGAGACCTGACGACTGTTCGAGCTCGTCTGTAGGGTCTTGTATTGAGTCCGATCTAACATCCATCGTAACACTTCGGCGAGCATTCAAGCAGCGAGTACATATTGCAGGCCTTGATATGCGTCGTAGAGCCCGGGCCAATTGGCAGGATTTATCGGTCGAAACCATGTTGGAGGTTCTTATAGACCGCCGTCAGCTTGAGATTAGACGCGAGACAACTGAGGAGATGTTACGCATCTATCTTGGATCTCAATCAGCAAGTTTCATGGAACCTTCTTGTGTCTCGCAGTAGTATCCCAAGCTAGAGTGAAACCTTTCGACTTGGCTTGTTATAACTAATTTTCACGTGACCGAAGACCATCCCTACACTACTGACATACGATGTAGTTTACCGCACCATAAACCTATCCTACAAGTGATTTATTGCACGTGGAGCATGAATGGTTTCGCACCTCGTTCTTGTTACGGAGACTACTACTCTATGTTGACCTTAAGCACTATGGATAGAGCTTGAACCCAACAACACCCTATTCTGGCGCAGCAAGAAGATGACACAAGGTAATTTCCTCCGTCCCCATGGCTAAAATACTCAGATACCAGTGCAAATGCTTTTTCATACCTCGCCAATGCTTCATGCTCATCGTTACCGTCACCGTGACTCTCGCCACTTTTTGTACACAGAAATTCGCAGGTTGCATGTCCTTAGACTCATGCCATTGGCACCAAGAACTTCTCTTTCAACAGTTGCTCCGCACTCGGCCTCTTCTGGTAATCAGTCTCAAACGTCATCGCAAGAAACTTCTTTCCTTCTTCGCTGGCTTGACTAGGAATGTCAGGCTTGGCAGAAGAGGCACCGATAGCGAAGATAGCTTGAAATTGACTGTGGTTAGGGAAGGGGTGAGAGCCGGTGAACATTTCAACAATGAGGCAGCCAAGAGACCAGATGTCTGCCTTTTTAGTGTGCGTGGACTGACGCACGACTTCGGGAGCCATCCAGAAAACACTCCCCTGCAAGGATGGACGGTTAGAGCCAGATGGTCCTTGATTAAGCATCGTAGATGCTTCAACGCGCTTGGAGATACCAAAATCTGAAATCTTTACACCTCCTTTGTTGTCGACAAGAACATTGGCACCCTTGATATCACGATGAATGATATTGCGGCCATGTAGGTATGCCAAACCTTCGAGGATTTGACGCACAAAGTTCCGTATAAGAGGCTCCCTGAAAGTGTTGTATTGCTTGAGCATTCCAGCAATGGACCCACCAGGGACGTACTCGAGGAAGATGTTCAGATGACTCTCATCGCAGGAGGTTCCTAGGTACTGCACGATGTTGGTATGTTGGAGACCTTGCAAAAGATCGATTTCTTGCTTCAAGGCCGTGATCATGTTGTTCTTTTTCTTGTCGATCTCTGTACCCTGTATAACCTCCGGCAACTCAACTTGCTTCACAGCCATCAATTCCCCAGTGACAGCATGAAGTGCCAGATACACGCTACCAAAGGATCCTTCGCCAATTAGATCACCTTTCATCCAGCTATTGTTTTCAAAGTTGTTGCCGGCCAAAAAGGAATTCAATGCATCATCTTCTTCCTCCCCATCCTCCGCAACGATCATACTCAAGCGTTGATTGAGGTTGTTATGCTCCGTTCCCCCAGCGTTGGGGCTTTCCTCGAAGAAGCTTGCACGAGGTACGTCCTGCTGCGCGGAATCCGATCCACTATCGAATGAGACGTACGACTTGCGATTCGGTTCAACCGGAGACTCTTCCTGGAGAGGCTGTAGAGATGTTGACATGATAGAGTCGCGAAAGGCAGCATTTGGTAACGCAAATTTGGACACGGAGAGTGGTCTGGAAGGCCGGGAAGGCTGACCCGACTGAGCCAGCCAAGCATCTGCGATACTGGGCATGGGGGGAGCGTCTTTGAGACTCGAGGCATAGCTCACGTTACTCATGACACTGAGACGACTAGCAGCTCGGCTCATTCTTTGAGATCTTCTGACAGAAAGTCGCATGGTCTTCTCGATATCTTCTTTTTGGTGACTTGGGAAATATGATGTGATTTCCTGGACAATCATCTCGCTCGGCGGGCGGGCACCGAAGAAAGAGCGTAACTTGTTGCCACTTCCCTGCAGACTATTGCTGTTCTTGAGAGGAGGGGTTTCCGGTCTCTCCAGATCATCCGCAGCAGCATTGATATGGCGTATCCTCGTGGTCGCTGTGACTGGTGACATTGGCTGTCGGATGTCGTTCCATGATTCCCCTGTAAGCTTTTGCAATTTGATCTGATTGCGCATATTGTTTGTACTAAGCGCGTTGTTGTGCAGTGTTTGGGTCTCCTCCAATGCGAGCTGAGCCGCTCTTTCAACTTCGTCCTGGTCAGGCTCTCCACCGTTGATCTTGCGGAGAATCAGACGATTACGGTCTGACCTATTAGGCCCGTCACAGATTTTCATCAACTCGGAATCTGAGAGACGACGGCATTTGGCAGGATCGGGCTCTAAACCATCAAGCACGTAGAAGCAGTAGTTCCGAAAATGGGACTCAGGGATGTAAAGCTTTCTCAGCACCGTAGCCATAATATCATCAACGTTCTTGCAATGTTTAATATTCAGCACCTTTGTTTGCCCTTCAGCATGGATGATCCGGACGACAGGTGAGTTAGCGGGCAACGACCCTAACGTCAGGCCGTCAATGCTTGTATTCTGCTGCAGGTGCTGTGTGACCAAAGTAGCGTTTTGTGGAGCTGTCTTTCCTTCAGGTCTGCGACCAGTGGCTGCATTCGCGGAAGGCGGGTGGGTAAAGTAGCCAGCTTCTTTCCTTGAGGTGTCCATTGGACTCGTCGCGTAACGATGTGCTCGTAGACCTCTGCTGTCAATCTCGGCCAGAGGTGAACTTGGGCGTGAGGGTGGCTTGGTATTTACTGCATTGGCCGAGCTGAAGTTGTGCAATGCAGTTGGATCTACCTGCCGTGACCATCTTCGGTTTGAATTAGCTGCCTGGTTTCGAGAGTGTGGAGGACGAGTAGATTCTGTAGACGACGGAGTATGTGCCTGGCTGTCAAGAGCTGCAAGAGAATCTCTGCTGCGTCGAGCACGCATAATCCCAGATTTGTTCCGCAATTGCTTGATGGCGATGAATATTCTGACTCGATCGCCGATTTTCTTGATGCCCATTTCCTGCAAAATCTTTTGGTCACATTCAAGCAGATTGGCTCCAGTAAAGTTGTTTGTTCTAAAGACCTGCTCGTATTGGCCGCATCGAATCGATCTCAGCCAGTCCGCGACCTTCTTTTCATCCCAGGCTCTGTAAAATGGTTAGCCTTGTTACGGAGACTACTACGATGGACGTACCTGACAGAATCTAGACCATCAACGACTGAGAACTCTGATTCCGTTGGGCTTGTAAACAGCTGTTCATGTGCCGGTAGTGGCGAGGCCATCTGAGTCCGCTGCGATGATTCTGAATAATTCCTGGAAGGATGTTGGTTAGTTCCTCCTAGAGATCCAGACCACGAAGGTTTCGAGGCTAGCATGGCCATATTGGATACTGTGCAATTCGAAGTCAAACTGTTGGCAGTTCTTGATATTGGAGGAGATTTAATCAACGAGCTTTAGAGCCCTGCCTTCGATCACTGGAGCAGGGCTGCGTGAAGAGCGATGACTACAAGCGTGACGTGTAGGTGAAGATGTACTCCTTGCATGCGTATGCCTAGACAGCTTCCCAAGCTTTCGCGTTCTTTAAACCCGCTTGATCGGGCAGTACTTGATTTCAGTTGCAAGTCAGGTCCGAGGCTGCGGCTTGGAACAGGTCAGGCCAATATGAATTATCACTGGAAAAACATCATGCAGGCTTCCCGAGCTCTTTTGCTGATGCCTGGAGTCAGAATATCGAGTCTGCAGCAAAGTCAGGCACGATTGGAGGGTTGTCGTCTGCCAGTGGGAAGGACAGTTGTCCCTGGTCACTGTAGTTGTTGGCGGATAGAAGAGAAGGGGACGCTAGCTCAGGAGAACACACAGGCAAGAATCTGGAAAGTCAGGAACAAAGGACACCTGCTACAGTGAGGTCTTTGGCGGCGACAAGGCCGTGGAGGAGTTATTAATGGTAGTCGCCTTTGTCGACTCTTCCCTGACCGCAGTTTCCGATCAGGGCCCCCAACTCTGCCACTGAACCCCAGCTTGGGCGGCACCAGTAGTCAGTTTCAGGTAACGGTGCGGCTGATAATCTTTACCCGGCTTGTAACTAGTTATTCACCACATTTTTGACCGAAGCCGACCAACTGCAGCACAGTATCACCAGCAGTGTTTGCTCGTTGCCGCACCACTGGCCACATGACGCGTTCTTCAGTAGACAGCCTATGCGATATACCACGGTAGAAGAATTACACCACCGATCTATCTTGGTTGTTTCGATCCTCGCGGCCGCAATCCCCAGGCGGGAGTTTCATATCATCCCGGTTGAACCATCATTCTCTAAAGGCCAAGAGCGACCGCGCGGATCAAAGGAGACAATACTGTAATGCTCCCAGCCCTATTTCTTTGATGTCTAAACGCTCACGGGAGTCTTCCTTCTCGTCCTCCTTAGACGAGTCTTTCGCACCTGTTATCGAAGATGAAGCTGATGCATTAGCGGGGCATCCTCCGCCAACAAAGCTCTGCCAAACCAATCCAGGCGTTTGGGCGACCCGCCCTGCGAGAGTGATGCAATGCATGTTAGCGCCGCATAGGGAGACAGGGTGCTTCGCCACCCAAGAAGAATATGAGGTCCATTACATCCAACAACATACTAATCGTTGCGCTACATGTTCAAAGAACTTCCCCAGTCCTCGATTTTTAGAGCTACACATCGAGGAAAACCACAATGCGCTTAGGGAAGCACTGGCGGCCAGAGGTGAGAAAACTTATGGCTGTTTTGTAGAAGATTGTGATCGAAAATGCTCAACACCTCAAAAGAGACGGCTTCACTTGATTGACAAACACATGTTCCCAAGGACATATAATTTTCGAATCGTTGAACAAGGCATTGACAAGGCCTCATCGATGCTGCAGGATGGTCGCCGACGACGAGTATCTACTGCGAATGACAGTCAACAAGTAGGCAGGCAGCGACGCCAGACATTGTCTCAGCTACATAATCAGCCCAGGGGCGCTAGCGAGGACAAGAATCATCCGACGGATGACAATTCTGAAAGCACTCCAACAGACGTCGAGCCTCGTAAGATGGTTGGCCCCGCTTGGCCCACAACAGCGAATGAGCCAAGCGAAGACCTCGTTGCTGACTTGGACAATGTCACACAGTCTCTGTCAGCGCTTCGATTTGTGCCCACAAGCGTGCTTCGAAAGCAGAACCAAAAAGGCAGACCTCCGAACAATAGCAACTAGAAGGAGGAACTAAAGTAGATGAACGCCGACGAGCTGCATGCTAGAAGTAAACGACAATTCGAGGTCACCCCCGATTGTGCTGGATGACTCCGGTTTCGGGGAGAGCATGACTTTCTCCGACCTGTACAGATGCAGTCCTTCTCATTCTCACGGCGCACAAAATGTCTTGACGCACAGACTCTATGGACATGGGTGGGGCGAGCAGTGAGAGGAGACGATCAGGTCAGGGAGTTATTAGGGGAAACCCAACTATTGGAAACCGACGATTGAGTTTCATTTAATCGAATGGATGGATGCATCTCTCTTCGTACTGTCCAACAATGACTGTAGAACAGCTACCAGCGCAGCATGAATGGCAACGACCACCACTGGTGTGCATGTTAAGTAGATAATCTATTGTGCAACCCAGCACCGCATAGCCATGGTTCTTGATGTCTCACAACCGAGCATTTCTGCTGAGTAAACGGTGATAGCCACCCATTGCAGAGAAGAGTACAAAGCGCAACGAGGCGTCTCCACATTTCAATGCCGTCGCAACAACTTGAATGATGGTGGTTAAAGTCACGTGCAAGGGGGCAATCCTACAAGCGAAGCAACACGAGCCCATTGAGCTGTGAATCATGCTAGTTAAGGCTGTAGATCTTCAAAGCGCTGGATATTCCTCCAAGGACACTGTACTTGTGTTATTCTTACCTCGCTCTCTCAACAAATTCCGACTGGATCACCGTGATAGCAGAACATGGGTTCGGGTGAAAAGTGCTGTGAGCGGTTAGAGGAATTGCCGAAACTAGGTAGGCTAGACTGCATATGATGAAACTTCCGGGAGTGGATGGTAATCTTGCGCCAGCTTAGCAATCCAGAATAGGGGCAATGCTTTCGACTTGAGGGAACCGTTCTCCAGCTATCGGCCGGCTGAAAGTTCCTGAGGCCTGTGCGCTATACCCCATCTGGGGGCTATGGTGATACAACCGACAACATGGCATTTCCTGCTAGGTCAAAACTCCTTGTCAGTAACCTACTCCGTACAAGCAGTGACACTGTCTACGGAGCACCAAAATCAATAGCCTCGTCTCTCTACCAGCCAAGAAAGCGTTTTTCGAACCGGAGAGGCCCACTGCCATACTACGTAGGGACAACCCCAGTCCGGCATCTACCGTGGCTTGCACAATCTCGGCAAAGCACCATGCTTCTTCCGATGCCGTGTCTTTTTTTCTGCGCCTGAGTCTCTTCGCCACTGGCAGATCATGACATGGCGATCGTAGGTCACGGATGCAACAGAATGTCTTACTCTGGACCTTGCGAGAGTTATTTTCGTGCCTTTCTCACCACTCACACCGAACTACGAGTACTTTGGTCCATGTCAAGGTGTCAAGGAGAAACTTGAGCAAGCGTTCCTTAAGCGATGATCAATTGCAATTTGAACCAAACCTGGTCGGTGGCTTGAGGAGATCTCGTCACCGCCGAGTTAGCCTCTTTCTACATGGGGAAAGCTTAACATCATCCAATTCTACTTCGACATGCTTTGCGTCTGCTGCTCATTCTGCCACTCGGCCAATAGCGTGCATTATCGTCTCTGGCAACTGCACTCGAGGAGACAGATCATTAGCTACCTGGTGGTGTGGCAGGTGTCATTGGGATTGGTAAGCTGGAACACTCAGCGGCAGGCCATGCAGCAGCAGAGGAGACTGTTGTGAAGCGCTGCCAGTTCACTCTCAAGCACTGTTTAAGGAGTCAAAAGACAGAGCAGTGCTCGCTTAGAGAGCTTCCAAGTAGGAGAAAGCTACTCGGATGAAACACGAAAGTAATAGTGGGCCGGCGTACTAAATTGCGACTGTCGGCGATGGATTGAAATTACCTCTGATATATTCTTGTTTCTTTCTCAGCATAGCGGCATGAGAAACGTGTAGTGGATTGGCGGTTGGTTGGCAACGCCCTATCAATTGTGGCCATCAGCAACCTCTTCCCTGTCTAACTAGTGAGCTGCCGCAGCTATGGAACTCTTTTCCTCCGTCAGTGACAAGTGTTGTCTCTCGCGTAGTCTCTCCCTCAAGTCAACGTACTTGACACCCTCACTGCCCAACCTCCGGCTCGCTGCGCAAAACTCTGGCAAATTCCAGCTTCTCTCGTTAACGCATTCGGCACTCTATCCTTCCGCGCTTCCCACTCCAGCTTCACACCACACACTCGTTTCAAGAGCTTCTCCTCAATCACGTCCTGTACCCGTCTTGTTGGATCTATCAGGATTGTTGCATGGGTCTTGCGCCTGAAACAATTGCTCTATTACCATACTGACTAGTATTGCGGTTGCCCCAGTGGTCTTGGCACTAAGCTTGCTTGACTGTTGAGAAGCCGGAAAACTGCTTTGCGGCAGGGGGAAGAAAAGGTCATCTCACCGGCTTTCACCTCGTTCTGTGTGGTCGTACATTCATTTTCATCAAATGTTACATTTTACAGCCTAGATCCGGTGCTTGCATTCACTCGCTCGTTTTCTCACAATCTGGATTGTGCCGCATTGGTCTACTGCGCTACCTGCGCTCCTTCTCTAAGAGCACCTCCACCAACTATCCGCGGGCCCTGCACCACCTTCCTGTGCGCCAACACATCTGCTCTGGGCTCTGCATAATAAGCAAGTGATTTGGGTTGGAGAAGTCATTGTTGCTATGGCACCTGCCCTCCCTCGCTTGAGGATCTTGTCTGGTGCGTATCCCTTTTTTATCCACTCACCATTTTCTGTTAGCCAAAGGCCTCTCCTTTTGACCCAACGAATGATCCAAGTGATCTTTACCTTCCCTTTCGACCTGCTTGCTTGATCTGAATATTTAAAAATGAGCTTGGAACTGAGGAGATACTGTGTAGTGGGCGGCAACGCTGTCTCCGCCTTTCTTTCGTGGCGCCTTCAGGCTACAAATGCCTGCGATGTGACCCTAGTATGGAAGAATGGATACCAAGCCGTGGCACAATATGGAATATCGTTTAAGTGAGTGGATCTGTCTCAGCCAGTCTGTGCCAGTCGCAAAGACCTAACTCTTGACTTTTAGGTCACTACGCTTTGGTAATGAACGGTTTAAGCCTCGACACGGTGAGCATCAACCAGGCTGCGTCCAAGGTCGCATTACTGACAGACCCCTGTAGTCGTGCAATCAACCGATGAAGCTGCCACAAGAGAAGCTGCGTTTGATTACGTCTTGCTCTGCGTCAAAGCTCTGCCGGATGTTTATGATCTGGCCGCCATCATCGAATCCGTCGTCACTCCTCAACATACCTGCATAATTGTGAATACAACCAATACTCTCGGGGTCGAGCAACATCTGGAGGAAAGATTCCCCAGCAATGTGGTCCTTTCACTCGTTTCAGGAGCCGATCTCATGCAGTTGGGGGCAAGCGAATTCGAGCATGCTGGGAATACAGATATATGGGTCGGACCAGCAAATACGAACTCTGCAGTGCCCGGGTCGATATCAAATGATATGTCAGAGGCGCTTGCCATGACTCTCGCTACCGGCCAGGTCAACTGCACTGTATCCCCGAACATTCGGCAACAACAATATGAACGCATGATTGGGTAAGATCGCCGATTATAACCGAAAGATTCTGCAAGCTCACATTATCCCAGGCCTATTGCTTTTCAACCCGCTTCGGTCATATTCGAAACCCCCTCAATCCCTGACCTTTTGGAAAAAGTTGGGGTTCGAGATCTTGTGTCTGGCGTGATCGATGAGCTGCTGCAAATTGCATCGAGCCACAAATGCGAATTCGCTTCGAATTTCAAGGAGAAAACCATGCAGAACATGCTCACGCTAACCCCAGAGGCGAACACGATGTTCCAAGATTTCACAGCCAGGAGACCCATGGAGATCGAAACGTATCTAAGAACTCCACTTAAATTTGCTGAAAAAGCTGGCATTCTGGTTCCTCGATTACAAACTCTATATGCCATACTACATCAACTGAATAAGAACAACCAAAGTCGACCTCCTCTTCTCACACCGGCAGCAGCTCAGCCACCACCTCGTGTCACATCAGCTCCCCCGCCACCAAGACCGCCCATGAATGGTCAAGGCCGCGGCGGCAGGATGTCCTCTGGTATGGGCGGGCAAATGCCGCCATCATCGAGACGTGGTCCTCCACCTGTCAATGGCTACCGTGGTCCACCGAATGGCTACCCTCCTCGGCAGGTGTCACGAAAGCCGTCCTTCGAAGAGAACAACCTAGATGAGTTCAGCCATGTCGTTCTGTATGATGACATCCCAGAAGGGGACGTTGCTGCTGCTCCTTATGAGGATATGCCTAATGGCGGTGCGGGCCAATCAGCCCTAGATTTACGCGAGCGAGAGATAATGCTGCGACAAAGAGAATTGAGGCTGAGAGAGCAAGAAATGGCAATGAAACGAGGAGGGCGCAGTCGTCGAGCTTCCCATGCTCGAAGGCGCGATATTGATGATGACGACGACGACGACGACTATTTCGATCCAATGGAAGGCCGGGGGCTTCCCCTTCCCCAAATCGACCCTGATAACTTTGACATGATGAGCGTCACCTCAAGGAGAACACGCAAGACACCAAGTCAAGCTCAACTCCGTAAGACCGTTTTCGAAGGGGGTAGTGGAATGCGGCCCGGGGGAGGTGGATTCAGTCGCCCTCATATGGGCCGTAATAGCGGCGGTACCCGGTACGAGAATGTGTCACGGCTGACTGACAACGTGCTGGACAATCCAATGATGAGCTACTCCTCGAACAGGTACGGAGCAGTTGACAGAAAAGAGTTGCACGAGGAATCTCGGGCAAATTCATTGACAGCCGGTCGAATGCAAGAGCTGGGCCACGGCGGTGGGCCTTATCCTGGGCCCCCAAGTCGACGAACAAGCCAGTCACCCGGCAACCCCTTCGGTCCGATGGGTCGTGGCATGGGCCGTCGCCCATCACCTCCCGATGAAAGCCACCACCTGCCCAACGGAATGCCCAACGGAATGCCCAACGGATTACCTAACGGGACAGGTCGACCATCTCCCCCAGGTGGCTTGAGGGCGCCTGTGCCGAGACATCCGCCCGGGCATGGAAATGAAGCGCATCCGCAGCAAGTCGAGCAACAGGTCGGAGTGAGCAAACCCTTCCCGCCTCTTAAAGGTCCTAGCAAGAGTCTGACTGGAAGTGCGAGCGCTAGCGCGGGGAGTGGGGATAGTGGAAGTGCGAATATCGACTCCTCCGAACCCTCTGCACACAGCAGCCAAAGCAGCTTCGCTCCTCGACAAGCAGGAGCTCGCTAATCGATCACATCGGGGTCGTTGTAAGGCCGCCTCCATGACCACGCGCAACCTCCCTTTCTCATCCTCTCACGCCGTGTGGTCCGCGCGCAATCTTCTCCTTGGACTACCAGAAAAGTACCACCTTCACCATCCGCACTGGCTTGTATACTTTACAACGACGAACCTTTCTCTGCCATCAAAATATTCTTCTAATACGGCGGCTTGGCGATATTCACGACCCCATCAGCAGAAGACGAGGAAAGAGAGATGAAGAATGCTCGGCATAGGAGGAATGTCAGCCACCTTCATACATACACTTCAAGAGATGACTGGTCCGGGATGATTCGATTTTGCATTTCCCCTCCGCGGTTGGGGAGACGCAGGCTCTATATGGTGCCGTGCTTTAGCTAATCCTCTCAGTCTGGGTGGTCCACTGTATTGCATATTCTGGCGAGCGTACATCCACAGACTTGAGCGTTGTGTGTTTCTTCCCTTCAACGTTGCCATCAGCATGGACTGGCGTCAGGAACAAAATCGGCCGCCTGTTGCTGTGGCATCCTAATCAATGACAAATAATATACTGAAGTTACCCAAAATACTTAGAATAGGAATTGGACTGGTTACTGCATGGTTTTCGGAGATTCCACCCCTACTCGACCCAGGCAAAGGCTGTCATGGATCAAATATCATTGCCAATTACTAGTAGACCCCAAGCTGACGCGCCAAGCTCGACCTGATTACTTCTGTATTTGTAGTTGGATATTGTGGCCATGTACGGAGATGTAAGGGGTCTATGCCGCACAAGATGACACAAATAGAAAGTCGTGATCGCTGAACTCATCTAAGGTCTGGACTGTGCTCATGACAATTCAGCTCTGCTCTGCTCTACGAAAATCTGCCACCATCACTTCCTCTGCTTCCTTTACTATCAAATATCCAACCTCAGCTCCACCCCAGCTCGTGGTTGATATCTACGCTCTGCAGAATCTCAAGGCTCTACATTCATCATGCCTTCTCCATCAACAACTCACAAAGCCCCCAGCAGACCCTCGTCCGCCTTCGCCGCGGCAACCTCAAACCCTACCCCTCACACCACCACCAACCCCACTACAGGCCCCTCCTCGATGTCCTCCTCGTCCAGCAAATCCCGCCAATACGCACACCTCCACTCCCAGCTCGCGCAGTTGAATGCCCACCTCGCAGATACAGAGAATCTAGTGCGTATGACGGCGGTTCAGGCGCAGGATATCCGATTCCTGGGCGGCTATGTCGGTGCGCTGTTCATGGGAAGTGCGAAGGTGCTGGGGGAGGAGAGTCTGAGGCAGGGTCAGGGCCAGGGCCAGGGTAGAGGTAAAGAAGCTGCTGGTGGTGACGGAGAGACTTCAAAGATTGGGGAGCAGCAGCGGCGGTGACTGACAGGGGGACTTGTTAGCGTTGAGGTCTTGAGGGATAACACTGGATTCTATGAGGTGATATGGACGGATGAGATCGAGAGGGAGGCTTAGCATTTGCTTAGGCTTGAAGATGGTGAGAGGCAGGCTCGGTGGATGCTTTGAATGCCGAGTCCGGCATTTTCATTCGTTTACGCCTACGCATTTCAGTCTGGTGAAGATCTGCCGATGAGCATGCGAGTCGCGAATTGAGCTTACAAAACGCAGGTGGCAGGTTTGCAGGTCAGAGAGCGTAAGCTGAGGAGCAAGACGCCATCAACCGCTGCATCAAAGACCTTCCGTCACCGAGCACCGAGCACACACCGTCTGCAAGAACTGCCTCGGGAAATAAGTGAGAATCGGAAAAGTCAAGGTCCTGCCCGCACCTCCACCGCTAATTCCCCCCCCAAAAAAACCCTCCTCACCCGCCCTGTCTATGAGGTAGCAAGACGCTCAGCGAGTCTCGCTTCGCAGCCAGGGCAATCGAGCATATGAATCCGAGATGCGCAATCCCGGAATCCCACAAGCCTGCCTCGCTTCTCAACAAAGCAGTTTACATTGCTACACCGCCGCCGGATCTCCGCATTGAGAATTCTGATAACTCGATCATATTCACAACGTTGCAAAAAGAGAAAAGGAGGGAGCGGAAGCGGTACGAAATCCCATGAGCTATTACTACGCGTGGGACGTTGGGGGGGGGGCAACTGTTTAGGTCAGAGGAAGACGGTGAGAGTGCCGGTTCGGAGGTTGCCGGGGACTGTTTTAAGGATGAGGTGCCTGATCGAGTTGGTGGAGGGGTGGTAGGCTCAGCTATCCCTTCCTCCTCTAGATTATATGGTTAGTGCTAGAAGCTGAGGACGGCTTGGAAATTTCTTATAGCTGGATGACAGTGACGGCTGCGATGGATGTCCATTGTGGGAGATGATAAACATTCTAGAAAGTCGAGGACATGGCTCTTACAGGGGTAAAGACTACACTCTACGGCTCTCGCTCGAGTGAGCTGGGAGATCTCAGGATAGCGGAGGAAGACTGAGAAGAAGGCAAGGTAGTTACCCCTGGTAATCATGGACTACAGTGTTCTTTGACTAGGAAGAGCCTGCAGTTAGGTTTGAGACGAGGAGGTTGTGCTAACAGCTCAAGGCAGGTGACAACTTTGTGTCTCTGCTATACATTGTGTAGAGTAGCCTGATGTGAAGATCTCCATGTTAAGCTTGACACCTGGGTCTTTCAGCCCATTCAATGCTCAGATGATGACGTCCTAGCTCTTCATGCATTGCAAAATATGTTGCCAGACCGAGTCCAAACGTAAGCTGATCCCATGGGTAGCCTCTCGCGGAGCTAGTGCCCCATTCCCTCTTCCAGTCTTCACACCCTCAGTCTGGTACTTTACCTTCCTAGACTTACCTAGTCATTAATTTCGTGATGGTAGGTCGTTCACCCAACGATCTACCTCCATCTGCCAGCCCACTGATACTCAATGGTGCATCTTCCGCGGACGCCACTATTTCCGACCTTGACACTTGAATCATCAGTGACCTGGAATGCCACCCGAGTAATAGTTGCACTTTGCTGCATGCCGTTGATTTCCTTCTCGCAGAATGGTCTTATAGTCAGCAAGGCAGATCCAGCAGAACTCGTGTCGGCATGCGCGACATGTCATATGATCACAACCACTTGTCTTCTGGATTACTGCACCACATTTGGCATTCGGGCAAGTCTTTGCTTTCTTATCAAGGTACTTCGCAGACTTTTCTTCGGCGCGTTTCAATTTCTCCATTCGAGCTTTTTCTGCCTTATCCGCCTCTGCCCGTTTGGGAGCATCTGCTAGCCAGACACGGTACTCTTCGCAGGTTTGGCCATGGTGGTGGATGAGATTGCAGCCGAGACAAGTGTTCCGTTGACAGTCTGCACATGTTATGTACTCGGAGGCCAGGTCGTCTTCTTCCACGAAACCCCCGCTCTTACAGCCTTCATGTGCACATAGACGGTAATCAGGGGCACTCTGTAGCGTTTTGTTCATCTGCCACTTGTCATATCGGCGAAAAATGTCTGATGGTGCAAATCGCTGCATATCACCGTGGTCCAATACAACACCACAGCCGGCGTGAGGACATGAGATAGAATCCCAGCTTTTTGTGTCTGCTTGTGCGGCAATGTGCTGTTCCCAGCAAGCAAGGCAGATCTCTGGTGCATGATTGCAGTCAGAGGCGACACTGACCTGGAACTGGAGCAATGGGTCTAAGTCATCAGAACAGACCTGGCAGGATGGCCTCTCCCCAGATAGCTCGTAGTTGACAGGTTGGAGGCCAACACCAAAAGCGATGTTGTCTCTGATGGCTATAGATGTGCCGAATGCCACGGGAGGGGGTCCCTGCGCTCTGCCCTCCAGTCCTAGATTGTTGTGCACCTTTTGCCTCTTGGCTCTGCCGTTAGCAAAGGTCGACTCAGCCTGTCTCTTACGACGGCTGCCCTTATCCGCTTCTCCATCTTTGCTGTCCACACCGACACCTGCCCTCTTTCTTACCACTTTAACAATCTCCACATCGGAGGAGTCTGGCAGGTCGCTGTCGGCTGCTCTTTTCCGCCGATTGATGCCTTTTTGAGTGGCGGGAGGCTGCGCTCGCCGTGGTCGAACAGGGTCCCCTTCCCCTTCCTCCGATTCCTCATCCTGGTCCCATTTATAAGCTAGATAGCTTCCGCCCTCATTCTTCCTCCCCTGGGGAACGGGCGCAGGCTCGTAAGCTGGTTCTGTTCCAACCCTCAGCCTTGCTGCACCCCTCTTTTTCCTTGCTAAATCGGCTCTCTCCCTTGTCGCATCTTGCACCGCTTCCTGCACAAGTGCTTGCGACCTCCAGTTCTGTCCAGCCACAGCTTGAGCTAGCACCTCCAAAGCATTAATTGTCCTTTGCAAAATTCTCCCTGGGTTGTAGCGGAGGTGGACCGTCTCATAGAGCTCCAGTTTCGTGGTGTTGGTGGAGGCGTTCCCACCAAGAGTCTCGATCATTTCAACTAGATCCTTTTTCGTCCATTTCGTATGCTTGACACCAAAGAAAGTCAAGGGTAAGTCTTTGTTGACATATGGCAAGTCGCCCTTGGCTACAACCTCAGGTTCAGAAGAATCCATATTTAGAAACGTGCTATTCAGAATCCGAGAACCTGATAGATGTTCGTTGGGTATGAGAAGAACGACCAAGCTGCTCAGCCTTTCGGATCACAACCACCGTTCTGCACAAGAAGTTTGAACTAGCTTCAAACGGTGGGGGCTGGCTTTGATGTGTTCCGGGAAAGACTGCTCAAAAGCAGCCTTGAAAGAATCAACGGCTTTGCAGAAGAGACACAGGCAAACCAGAACCTGATCCAACTCTCACGCCGAAATAAGACACAATCAATTGGGTACGCGATTAGATATCGCTGTCTCGAGAATGTTTGTATGATTTGGACGCGGCAACTTTGGCCAAGTGTTGTGCTTCCGCAAGGTATTCGCGTCAACCTTTGAACAAGTAAAATGCAAGAATTTCAGCCTGTGATCTTAGAGTAGAAGACGACGACTGTCGGTAGCAACTATTTTCAACATACCGAGCGGCCTTGGTTGAGCAGAGGCCAAGAAAAAGACTTGTGTGACAAATTGTCCAGATAAGGCATTGGTAACATGAAAGACACTTTGCACGTCGCCAAGGATAAGGTTAGCACCTGATGTATGAGCTGCGTTGTGGTAGCTTCAACTGTACCATCGCAAGGGGCGGGATGATGGCGAATGTAGCACCAAATGAGATGGGATTATCGCTCACGGATTGAAAGATAATAAATTTAAGTATTGATATGACCGGACTGGCCCAGAGACACAGAGAGGCTGATGAGTTGAAGTGGGGGAGTGGTCGAGGCAGGAGCAAGATCCGGGGTAGCAACGGTCTTGCAGTACAGCCTTCTCTGGTGCGCACCCGCTGCTCGCCCCTTTCAACCTGTTGATCTGGATTAAGTCAACTGGCCATGAACCCAGCACGGCTTGAAACCACATCCTCAAAAGGCTGCAAAGACCTCCACGCCGGTACTGGCACAAAGAACCAAGGCAACGGTGGCGGTGGCGGCTATCAACGCTCTCAAACGAATGCTCTACCGATTCTCCATGGTTTCGCTCAAGCCCCATTGAGAGAACGAGGGAGATGGCTACCACCTCTCTAGTATCAACGTCGATGTGTTGTAGCTAGTTGAAGAGCAGATGCTGTTTCTGGAGGATCGAATTATGATGTCAAATTGCATGAGATACTTGTGACGGGAATATATTGGAGATACCATCTCACGTAATGTGCCATCTACGGTGATCTCCACATCATGTGACCTTCTTCCCATATCGCTAGTACAATTTAGGTTAAATTAGCAACATGTGAAAGTCAGAAATTTGCAAACAATGACATCACACTTGGGCTGCATCGCTCATGATCATGCCAGGCAAGAGTGATAACACGTCTGCATGTCTGCATGACCCGCTATTTAACACTTTCTACTTCCTTGATTCTCCTTCCACAAAACTTTTTCATATCCCTCCACCTTGACAAGTCAACTTCTCACCAGAAGCAGTTGAAATCTCCAAGCAGTCAAACTCATACCCAAACTATCCTCTTCATCATGTCTGACACCGGCCGAAAGAACATCACCGACCGTAAGGTTTATTGCCATCTACAGATCTCAGTTCACCCACTGACTTTTACTTTACAGAAGCCAAGGAGAAAGCCACACCCGACTCGCAGAAGTCATCTGTCGACAAAGCCACTGAATCTGCCTCATCCACAGCCGACAAGGGCATTTCTTCGGTCCAGCCAAGTACATTTCCTTTACAGTTGCCTCACTTCTCACCTTGTCTAACCCTCCATCTGATTAGGTGATAGCAAGTCAGCCACTCAGGAGCTATCTGATACAACCCGTAGCAATGCCGACTCCGCTCAGGAAGAAGGCAAGGGCCTGGCTCAGTCAATGACCGACACCGTCTCTGGAACCGCTGAGTCAGCTCAGAAACAGGGCAAGGACCTAGCTCAGTCTGCATCCGACACTGTCTTAAGCACTGCCGAATCAGCTCAGAATCAGGGCAAGGACCTAGCGCAGTCTGCATCCGACACTGTCTCAAACACTGCTGAGTCCGCTCAGAATCAGGGCAAGGACCTAGCTCAGTCTGCATCTGATAAAGCCTCTAGCGCCGCCGAGTCCGCTCAGAAGCAGGCCAGAGATATAGCTCAGTCCGCATCCAACAAAGCCTCTGACGCCGCCGAGTCCGCTCAGCAGCAAGGGAAAGATGTCGCTCAGTCTGCATCCGACAAAGCCTCTGACGCCGCCGAGTCCGCTCAGCAGCAAGGGAAAGATGTCGCTCAGTCTGCATCTGATAAAGCCGAATCCGCTCAGCAACAAGGCAAGGATGTCGCTCAGTCTGCATCCGACAAAGCCTCTGACGCCGCCGAGTCCGCTCAGCAGCAAGGGAAAGATGTCGCTCAGTCTGCATCTGATAAAGCCGAATCCGCTCAGCAACAAGGCAAGGATGTCGCTCAGTCTGCATCCGACAAAGCCTCTGACGCCGCCGAGTCCGCTCAGCAGCAAGGGAAAGATGTCGCTCAGTCTGCATCTGATAAAGCCGAATCCGCTCAGCAACAAGGCAAGGATGTCGCTCAGTCTGCATCCGACAAAGCCTCTGACGCCGCCGAGTCCGCTCAGCAGCAAGGGAAAGATGTCGCTCAGTCTGCATCTGATAAAGCCGAATCCGCTCAGCAACAAGGCAAGGATGTCGCTCAGTCTGCATCCGACAAAGCCTCTGGTGCCGCCGAATCTGCTCAGCAGCAAGGGAAAGATGTCGCTCAGTCTGCATCCGACAAAGCCTCTGGGGCTGCCGAATCCGCTCAGCAGCAAGGGAAAGATGTCGCTCAGTCTGCATCTGACAAAGCTGAATCTGCTCAGCAACAAGGCAAGGATGTCGCTCAGTCTGCATCTGATAAAGCATCTGGTACTGCTGAGTCTGCATCCGACAAAGCATCAGGAACTGCCGAGTCTGCTCAGCAACAAGGCAAGGACGTCGCTCAGTCTGCATCTGACAAAGCATCAGGCACTACCGAGTCTGCTCAGCAACAAGGCAAAGACGTCGCTCAGTCTGCATCTGATAAAGCCTCTGGTACTGCCGAGTCTGCATCTGATAAAGCCTCAGGCACTGCCGAGTCTGCTCAGCAACAAGGCAAGGACGTCGCTCAGTCCGCATCCGATAGCACCTCTCGCAACACTGAGTCAGCTCAGAAAGAGGGCAAAGGTATCCTACAGTCAGTAACCAACACTGCCTCAGACCTCATTGATTCTGCTAGCAAGGCTGCTACTGGTAAGCAGCTATCTTTTATTCTTGTTGAACCAAGCTGATCATCACTTGATAGATGCTGCGAACAAAATTTCCGAGTCTACCAACACGAAGAAATAGGTGTTCCTGGCTCTCATGATCCTTCACGCACGCAAAGGTCCTAACCCATCGCGTTGATGACGCCAATTACATGGTTTCAACTTTCCAGTCTTGCAGTGTCTTCGGTTTGCAGGTGATCAGGGATGAGGAGATAATGATTCACAACATGGAAATAAATTGACGATATTGTCAGGTGCTGCTCTGACACCATCATCATGCCTATCCTGATGGATCTTCCAGAGCTTTAGCAAAAGTCTAGTTAGATCAATCCAGTGCTAGGCATACATGACAGTTTCCTGGCTTTTATTGTGTGAAGTTGTGTTCTTTCTGCTACGGATCAATGTCTTGCCAATCCATCCAGTAAGCATCCATCCCTTGACCCAAAGTAGAGAACAAAATCAATGAATGGTGGCGGAAGGGATCATTAGTGCCCCACCAGTTCGACGCTGCTGCAAGGTAGATCTCCAGAATTTCAACATGGCTGCTTAGTAAATGGTGGGTTTGGTAGAATCTAGTTTGGTAACTATCTAGAAAAGGTCACTTTTTGTGGAAGCGGGATTCGAATATGCTCTGTATGTGATTCCCACTGCAGACTGGCACTGAAGACTACTACATTGGGAGTGAAAGAGATTTACATTTATCTCGTGAATGCATCACTCCGAGGCGATGATGAGACAGAGCATCCACTTCGAGCAATCAAATCAACGGAAGTACTCGCCTCCTTCTTCCAATACCTTCCACCAGAGTCTAAGATTTTGAAAGTGGACTTCAACAGTCTGCCCGGCTTGGACCCTCATTCCACCATACACTTCCGCAGAGCGTGATTTGGGTCTCCAACCAGAGAGGCCGAGAGCTCAGTCCGGCATGTTTTCACCAGCTTGGTACACGTACGTCGACCCCCTATCCACCTTTCTGGCGTAAATTCTGACCATTGGTGGCTGAAACTCAGTGGCGCAAATATTGAAATTGGTCTTAATGAATGACAGACACCCATCTCAACCTTAAGCTCGTTAAAGATGCTTGCTAGATCACCTTTGGCTTACAGGTTCAGACTGATGAAGTGGATGAAATGGATTCTATCTATCCTCTGCAGAATCTATCTAAGAAGGAAAAGCAGGCTAATCTACTACTACTTAGTAGGCCGCGCAGGCAGTTACATGATGCCAAGGATTTGGCTGTACGGAGAGTCAGTGAGGGGTACATCAATTAAGTGTGGTTCGAAACCCATCAGCGCTGTCCTTTTGACGGAGTGGTTGATGTGTCCCTTTTCTCGGAGTACACGTATGGCCAATTCCAACACAGGCTTGTTTTCGACTGCAGCACTGATTGGGCACGATTCACCGAGCCGTGCGTTAATCTGCCAATCATAAGCTCTTATTCGTCATCGCGTTTGCAACAACCAATGAGAAAAATGTCAGAATTTACGCCAGCGATGGCGGGTCTAGTTCATGGGGAGGAAAGCAGAGGCCTCAACATGAGCAGGATTTCCTTGAAAATTGAATTCTGGGTTTGGCACCAGGGAGCTGTCCAACCAAGAATAGCTTATAATATGTAGCTCTTTCATACAAACTTGGTCAAAGTAACTAGAAGACTGAAAGCGCTTTAAAGGCGAAGCTTCCTGTAAGCAATGCAACCGGTGGGTGACTCCTTGCCAGACAAGGGCTCCAAATGACGTGTTATTGGTTCTTAGCAAACTAGCCAATGGTTCGTTATTATTAAGACCGTCAAAGGGCGATTGCCACATTGATAGTAATTTAGACAAAGCTTTCAGAGCGCTTCTTCCTGCTAAGAACTTGATTGGTGTTGCCCTTGGCACATACTTTGGGTGCAGAAGAGCGACACTAATTCTGTTAATGGACCTCGGCCTCCCCTGCAATCACGACCCTTCTCAAGACGTCTTGATAAAACCAAGCACCATATTCCTGCTGCCCCTTACCACCACCTGCCTATACCAGACGTGGACGTGCTATCTTGCACGTGTCTCATGCCACTACATACATATTAGGATGTTTATCCCCGTGCTCGAACGCCACAATATGAGCAATAGAAACCAACCAATTCGCACGAGGTAGTGGCTTGCAACAACGGCCACGATTGGTGCAAGCATGGATATGGCCCCAACCATCCAACCCATTTTCTCGATATCCGAAGACGTTGATTGCATGACTAAGACGGACTAAGCTGTCTTCACAGATCGACAGGCTCGCTTACAGCATGATGGGGCGGTCAAAGGCCAATCGTCCCTAGTTAGATGCAAAGGTCTACTAAGGTAGGAGGCAGAAGTATTCCTAGCACGTTGCTAAGAACGACTAGTAACACTTACGTTGTCACCACGCTTTTTCGAAGCTTCTCTTGTCAGTATCCACTGAAGTGACTTGTTTCAGTACAGCTAACTCATGGTCAGCTTAGTAGTCACGTAAAGTAGCTGTTTTGGGAGACAAATACTAGCGCCGTGCTAGAAATACTTCAGCTCGATACTGTAGTAGTGGGACTTAACGGAGAGCTGCAGGGTCTGGCGATGGTCTGGCGATGGTCTGGCGATGGTCTGCAACGATTATTTGCTCACGACTCACGACTCGTACTGCAACATCGGTCTCAGTACAATGTACGAATTAGATCCTCTCTTCACTTTGAGCTCACTTCCTAGCGCTCCAACCAACATGAAGGAGTCTTCCTTACCTCCCAAGTGGAGATCTCCGAATGCAGGATTCATCCCCTAACCAAAGCCATTGTCAGACGTAGGAGGTTTGGCGGAGAGAAACAGTCGCACTTCTTCAGCAAGGTGGCATTCTCCCATAACCAAGGATGATTAGGATTGTGGAAGCGTCACCTTGTACAAGCACAATGGTCCGTTGACTCAAGTGTCCAACAGAAGGCAGGCTTGACGATGCTACTGGGCTTCTTTATTGACTAGGCTGGCGCTGTAACTAATATTAAATGTATGTTAGGCGATAACATCGTTACACCAATGCTGAGCTAAGTATTGCATGCAAGTTGTCAGCGCCACGTGTAGGATCTGCACCCACATGGTTCCTTATGACAAATGACCACACACCACAAGCATCCTCAATTCTGAACTTTTAGGATGATACGGGTAGCCTCAGAGGACCGGAGTAAGTCACGGGTGCAGAGTTGCACCCATGAAACCAATTGATAGCGTCAGCTTAGCTTTATAGAAGTTGTAACCAAAGGATTCAAGATAGGCTGAGCGACTTAGCTGAAGCACTACCTAAGAACCCTGCCTGTGGGAAACACAACCATTCGGTGTCACAATCTTACCGCCGCTTCCACCCAAGAGTCAAAATGGCCCAAAATCTTAGTTGTGGATCCGCGCTTGCCAAGTAAATACCGGCGCACTGGGACGTTGGATGCTTATTGTCCTACCTGAAGTCCACCCACTTCAGTGTTTCGCCCGGCGTGTCGAAGGTTTTCATTGCCAGGCAAGGTCGCCTGGACGAAGGACACTCACCCAGGAGTCGTTTCCATTGTCCAACGGCATCAAGGGAAGCCAGACATTGTATGACTGCTTTTTATCTATCATTTGCGAATATCAGTAAAGTTGCTAATATAGTACGAAGTGTAGCTTGAGTGACGGACGATCTCATTATTTATAGTCATTTGCATCAGATCAGACTCTTAATAGGGTTCTGTGGGAAATTGATAGAAAATGAGGCGATGACGCCTAAGGGCACGAATATCATACAAGCTGTGGAGCAGGCTTTCGCTAACTGACATCCACCCAGCTCTCTGGCTTGGCCTTACCAAGTAGGCAGAAGCCCCGGTGTGCGAGCTACCTCAATCTGCCAGTACTACTCCGTACATAGTACGATGGAGCCCTGAAGTAACGTTAGTCTGATACTAGTAGCGGTTGGTTTTGCTATGGTGGTACAGTGTTGTGATTCGTCATTCTTGAGCTTGTTTTGTGTACAGCCACTCAGACAAGTCGGATGATCACATCTAACTTCTATTTGATATAGCTGTTCAGTACAGAGCGTGTTTACGGGTGCAGATACTAGCGCTGATCTAACATTACTTCCGGCTTCACTCATACGTAGTAGTAAAGTGGTAACGAAAACGCGGGCATCCTCATCCACAAATAGGTGCGGGCGCTGCTGCACGATGGAAAGATTGAGCCGCTTCGTGACATGATCATGGGTCCAAAGCAGGTCAGCCTATCTGCAGGCCGGTGGATCAATGCTGGTATTAAAGGCAATTTGTACGTCATGTTCCCCAAGAATAACGCCTCCATTACTCTTGACCAGAGTTATTGTAGTAGTTAATTTGGACGGCAATGACCTACTTCCAGTCACCGATAAGCCAGACGCCGTTGTATTGTTCAGCGGCCAACGCCACACCAACAACCGGGATTGAAGCACTCAGGCCAAGATTGGCTTGGTGCAGTTTTTGAATTCACTAGCTGACATCCGCCAGCCAGGCCCCAGACATCCCATTGGAGTACTAAGTTTGTGATCGCCAGTAGCTTGATAGGGCCGAGAACTCACGAGATCCGATTAATACATTTACTACCGTATTGTGAAGAAGTATCACAAGATCTAATCTGACCACTTCGTTATGGACCATTTACCGGTCTGCCAGATCAGGTTCGGGTCAAGAAAACCCAAAATCTACAGGGAAGGATTCCAGGAATAAGCAGGGCAAAGCCACACTTGGTGTAGGCCAAGCTTATTTACCAGGAATGGAACCGACACTCGGCTCACTCTTCCTCTAGTATGCATGGCGTGGCTGCCCGTTTCCTACAATCCCACAATAAATGGGTATTGCCAACCCCCAGGATGCCCGTCCTGACCCATTATGCCCCACTAACGCATAATGGGCATTTGGCCCCTGGGTCTGCCAATGGGAAGCATATTTCATCATCTTCACTCCGGGAGGCGAGCCCTTCGAACCTGGGAGGTGAAACCGTCGACGAGAGAAGCTAGACGATTGTGGCCAGAAGCTTGAAACCATCACGGCCTAGATTTATTCAATTAACTCTCATCTCTTTATAGTCGCGAGCGTTG